TAATACTAGAATCAACCAAAAATGTTTATCTTTTCTATGTTTTTCCAGGCCTCCGAAGTTTAACAAAACATGCAAAAATCAATAACCGAATATTTCAAAGAATCGCCACTTTTTTAAATTACCGACCTTTTTCCTTTCTTCTGGCACCTGCTACAGCCAAATTCATACTAATCAAGGAACTTCCACGTTTTTCTGTTTATTTCAGACAAGCAGAACGCTCGGAATCTCGGAATCATGGACACCTTCAGACGCCCCTTTCTTTACAAGCGACTATTTTTCCGGCTACGCAGCGTCACTGATTGCACCTTTATTTTTCCTCTAAAAAATGTCGTAACCTCGTTGCAACATACGTACAAATAAACGCTGTCGATTTGACTTCAAAAGAAAACAACAGTTTCTCCCCCCCAAAAAACCAGTCCCAACAGAGTTAAAAAAGAAACAAAAACACAAACTTCACAGCGGAATGCCCCCTTAATAAAACGATAAAGCGCAGCAGAAGAAAAAAAACGACGGATCGACGGTCGCTAATGCACGCGAATTTTATCGGAGTCGCCAGATTCTGGAGGCCGGAACAATCGTACGACTCGAAACTGTCAGCGCGCCGTCTACCCTCGCGGAACGATGTCATTGATACCAGACGGATTCCCGCTTCAAGCATGCTTCATCGATCTAACTGCGCGCAAACACGAACTTTTCGATTCGACGTCCTCGAACCGCCGGCCGGGGTGATCGATATCCCTCGTCAGATTTACCATCGTCCCTAAAAGCCGCGTATCTCTTGTCATTCCACGCCGTACGCGTATTCGAGGACTTCCCCTAATAATTGTGCTGCGCCTCGCCTCGCCTCGCCGCGCGGCGCGGCGGGCTCCCGTCGAACAGAGAGTTGCGTTATATCCCGATCGACGGACGACCCGTCACGGAAGTTTATTAATGTCAAATAACGTCGGCGGGCCGACGGGAAAGCGTGACCGTTATCCGCGACTGAATGTGACGGCTCCTTTCGGCGTGTGCATCGCGCTCCTTCGAGGGCGCCCTCGATTATAACGAGCCTGACGCATTCAGAAAGGTGAGGAGGCCCGGCCCTCCGTTCTCTGTTTTTCAACCCTCCTCGGTGTCGCTCGCGCGCGCCCCTTCGCTCCCCTATCGCGAATGCATATTTCGAGGCCGTGTGCTCGCGCGCGCGCGGGGAGCACGAAAATATTTGTCGTTGAACCCGCGGCTTCGGATCGCCGGTTTTTGTGGGGACACTTTCTTCCCAAGCATCTACTTCTTCAGCACTTCGCGATTCGGTTCACGCGTGCGGAGGAGTTCTCCTCGTTGATTTCGTGGCACTCTCGAATTCTTACGCGACACCGATCGTTCTTCGCGCGTTTCTGTCGCCGCTTCTTTGTGGTAAATTTTGATCCACGGCGGTGAGGATTATTATAGTAAGTTATTTTTAGGTTTTTAGCGATGTTTAAATGGAAACTGAACGAAACCACAGATTTGTATGTTTCTATGTAAATAATAGAAAATAGAAAATAGATATAGAGATAATAGAAAATAGAAATATGGTCTAAACGAAACCCTAGATTTGTATATTTCTATATTGAAGATGATAGAAAATAGAAATATATACAAATATGGTCTAAACAAAACCTTAGATTTGTATATTTCTATATTAAAGATGATAGAAAATAGAAATATATACAAATATAGTCTAAACGAAACCCTAGATTTGTATATTTCTATATTAAAGATGATAGAAAATAGAAATATATACAAATATAGTCTAAACGAAACCCTAGATTTGTATATTTCTATATTAAAGATGATAGAAAATAGAAATATATACAAATATGGTCTAAACAAAACCCTAGATTTGTATATTTCTATATTAAAGATGATAGAAAATAGAAATATACATATATTAGCAATATTAGTATATTGTGTATACTATTAGTGTTGCTAATGAGTATATTATTGTGTATCTATTAGTGTTGCTAATAAGCAATATTAATATTGCTATTAGTATATAGCAATATAAATATAAATATATATATATGTATAAATTAGCAATATTAGTATATTGTATTTAATAATATTAGTATATTGTGTATACTATTAGTGTTGCTAATGAGCTCTTATAATAATAAGAGGAGCATGAAATCAATTCACAAAGTATGATTTACATTATTTTTATTACGTTTAATATACACGTCGAATACTTTCTATCAGTACATATAGATACAATAGAACGTTACTATATTTACAGAGTATATCACATATAGTCGAATTTAGAGCGGAGCTTCGTCGCTCCCCAAGGACCACTAAGATTCTCCGTGTCTCTTCGCTAAAAGGTTGACTCTTTTTCGAATCGAGAGAATCGAATTGCAACGATAATAAGAAATGGCATTCGAAAGAACAACAGCAAGTTAGAATCGAACGAAACGTGTGTCTCGGTATCTCGAAGGTGCGATACTTGAATGGTGATATCAAAAAGTTTGTGTGTGTATGTGTGTGTGTGTGTGTCACGTGCTATTATAAGCGTTGCCAAAACGCTTGCTTTGGTAGATCGTCCGTCGATGGTATTTCACCGACACCGATTTCAATTGTCGTCATTTATATGTAACGTTGAAAAAAAAACGGGCAAGATCGATACACAGGATGTCCCAAAATTATGGTACTTCCGGAAAACGAGAGATTCCTGAGGTCATTTGGAGTAACTTTTTCCTTTGCAAAAATGCAATCCGCGGCTTCGTTCGCGAGTTATTAACGAAAAACGCCGACCAATGAGAGGCGAGCGCGGCTGGCGCGAGGCGTCTCAGTCAACGAGCGGTGGAAGCGCAGTTCCGCTGATTGGCTCTGCCGCCTAGCGCTACGCGAGCTCGCCTCTCATTGGTCACTGTTTTTCGCGAATAACTCGTAAACAAAGCCTCGTAGAACATTTTCGCTAAGGAAAAAGTTTCTCCAAATCACCTCAGGAACCTCTCATTTCCTAGAAATACCATAATTTCAGAACTCCCTGTACAACTCTCCGTGCAAAAACCGTTTTAACTAAATAAAATATTTCGCCGTAAATTATTAAAAACGAGATAATATTTGGTGGCCGCAGTTTGTAGGCATTTGTGAAAATAACGAGTGCTAGCAATTTGAAACGGTGGAACGACGTAAACATTATCTCAGAAAGAAGGCGTTTCTTGTATACCCACTATTTATAAATAACGCAGACAATTTTCATATCGCATAAAAATCTGCAGACCAGTTATCCATAAAATACAATGATCCTAAAGGAACGAAGAAACCCTCCGAAAAGCAATGAAAGACAGAAAATGAACACGTCGCGTCGGTTTCATCGTGACAGTAAATCTTATTCTTTCGCGTCGTCGTTGCACACCGTCAAAGAATTAATTAATAACGGCCTCTCAAACGGTGAACAGATGAAGGTTCGTTTAACCGTATCGCGCGACATATCTCGATTTCGCGGTTTCGTTCTCGTCGTCGTGTCCCCTCTTACATTGTCGTTCGATGCTCGGCGCGGATGAAATACCGTCGACGGAGACTGTCGATAAAATATCTTCCGGTAACTTCGACGTGTGATCCGACCGAAGAAGTCGCGGGGTTGTGTTTAATACGTGAAACGCGGCGCCGGTAACAGTTTCGATTCGAAGGTATACACGGAAACGGAAGGACGACGAAGAAGGAAGAGGCGAACCCTCGATTAGAGCAAAGATTGCTTTCGCCCCGCTGTAATCGGTTGTCGGCGGCGTGTAATCGTAAAGAGGCCGAGGGAGGAAGGGAACGGAGAGGGTGAACGGTAGATCGGATCGTTCCGACGATCGTTCGATAAAGTTCAGAGCTTCCTATATTACCGTGAACGACGATGGCCGAGCGAAGTCAGAGCTACATCTATTTATACAGGCGGGGAGTGGATGCGAGAAGTCGTTCGATTTTCACGAGTTATTCGGTTACTTGCGAAGTCTGCTCGTTCGATGGATCCGCCTTCGGCTCTTTTACGTAGTCGACGACTAGCTCGAGGCCGATCAGAGCCCGCAGATCCTTCCTCCCTTCTTCTTGGCTCGAAGACGAGGTGCCTGGCGTTTCCGGTTTCGGGAATCTATCGTCTAATGAATTTCAAACCGATTAATCACACTCTGATCTTCTTCTGATCGTGTGCGGTGCGTTTGTAGCGGGACCGTTTACACGAGACGCTCCGAAATCACGAATATTATTTTGCAAAATACAGATTTTCTAAGTCGACTGCGAGAAACCGAGACGAAAGAGAAACGATGTTAATCTTCGATGGTTTCCGTCTGTCGAAAATGGGAGAGATGTTATTCTTAAATGCTTCTAATTTCTTCACGGTTCTGCATTTGAATTGTCATTATTTTTTTCTTACATGCTCGAGAAAGTAAAAGAAGGAACAAGACAATCGTTCGTTTTGCAAGTTAATTCAAGTACTTTGAATTGTTTCTGCACACCGACCTGTCCCGGATTTTATAAAAATTGACTCCAGGATTTTACGAAAATCCAGGCTTCCTTAGATCGATTTACAAAAGTACGAGACGCGATTTGTCCTAACCAGACGATTTCATTTTTGGTAAAAACAGTATAAAGAATCTCCCTTAATTTGTCTCGGTACAAGTAAATACACGATGATTCGATCGAGTGATACGAAACTTGCTTTTTTTTTCTCTCTTTAACACGTTCAGCGCCGACAATCGACCGCTAAAATTCCCACAAAGTCGAAGCAATTTAATCAATTAAACCGAACCTAGAAGGTTGAAATTGATCATAGTGAATGAGATTAGAACTCTTTCGTATTCGAAACATTTTGGTGAAATTCAGTTTCTACGAATATATTAACAATGAAAATGAATTTTCAAAATTGGTCAAAACTTAGTTTCACCCACAAGTGATCGACGCGGCGGTCAACGTGTTAAATACAAATTAAACCAATAATTGGTTTCGACGAATCGATTGTCTCGTGTAAAAGCCCCCGAAGAATTAGTTCCCTGATCTCTCGATCAGCTGTTCCTTAGGACACTACAGTAATGTCTCTCTAATTGACGCCCAGATTGACCACAAAAATGAACAATTTGGGAAAAGGAGATACGATTATTTGAGTCTTGCGGTCTTTTTTATACAGGGTGTCCCAAAAATGTCTCGCAATTCGAAAGTGGCGGGTTCCTCGGGTCATTTGAAGCAACTTCTTCCTTTACAAAAATGTTCTCCGAGGCACCGTTAACGAGTTATTAACGAAAAACAGTGACCAATGAGGGGCGAGCTCAGCTGGCGCGAGGCGACCGAGCCAATGAGCGGAACTGGGATTCGACCGCTCGACCGCTGACGCCGTTGGCTCGGCCGCTTAGCGCCAGCTGAGCTTACCTTTCATTGGTCACTGTTTTTCGTTCGTAACTCGTTAATGGTGCCTCGGAGAACATTTTTGTAAAGGAAAAAGCTGCTTCAAATGATCCAAGGAACCCTCCATTTCCGAACTACGAGACATTTTTGGGACACTCTGTAGTTAAAAATTGTCCACAATTATAAAAACGAGTTGCAAGGCTCGAATAATCGTATCTCCTCTTCCGAAATTGTCCATTTTAGTGGACAGTTCGTCAGTAAGGGAGACATTACTGTATTTTCTCTGTACAGTAATGTCTCCCTAATTGACGCTCAGATTTCGCACAAAATGGCCAATTTAGGAAGAGGAGATATTTGAGCCTCGCAGCTCGTTCTTATAGTTGTTAACAACTCGTAACTACAAAAATGATCCGCAAGGATCAAATAATCGTGTCTTTTCTCTTCCCAAATCGTCCATTTTTGTGCGAAATCTGAGCGCCAATTAGAGAGACATTACTGTATTTCATATCAACGGTAAACCAGCCGAGCACCAAATGCGTGCGCAAATTCATTAAAACGCGCGAACTTTCGTTTTCCATCCGACTTCGCTACTCTCATACATATTCGAACAACGAAACACGTCCGGTCGTCCCCGACGGAGGCACTTTTTTATAATCTCGATCGTCGCAGGACGAAAGACCAGCCGTTCGACCGCGTGAAAAGATGTTCGGACACGAACCAAAAAAAAACAAATCTTCGTATTTTCCAATTGATCTACAGCTCGAATTCTACTCGTCGCATTCGACCAGTTCGATCTAACGAAGTATTCCCACAACTCACGAACGACCGCGGATATTCGTGGTCCCGGATCCGGCACGGTGTCCCGATAAAACGCTCTCTAAACACGCTTTCCCTTCGGCAACGAACCGTTCTACCTTCTCTACCGTCTCGAAACAGATGGATATCTCTATCACAATCACGAACGTGTGTCACAGCACCCACCGCGTGATCAGCGCGAAGCATGCAGGAAAGGTGAAAGAGGATGGTGCGATCAGCACCGAGCAAAGCCCCGACACTCACTGTTATCAATTTCCTTCGGACTGTCCTCGGTCTCTTCCGCGGACGCCTCGCTCCTGGACACTTTCTGCGCCTGGCCGATGTTCCTGTACGTCCTTGTCAGGTGTCTCAGGATGTAATTGGTGCCGTGCGAGTTCTCCTCGCTGCTCCTCGACGTGCTCGCCTCGTCCCTGGTCAGGTTCAAGGGCCTGTTGCTGCTGTACTCCTTCGATTGGGGCACGCTGAACGCGGAGCAGTGCTTGCCCTTGAACGGCAGCTGCCTCTCGCTCAGCTTCCGGTCCCAGATGTGCCCGGACACGCGGAGATCAATGAAGAAGTGCAGGGGATCTATGCCGGGATAAGACTGCGGCATCGGGTACGGCGGGTACCAGAGCGGGTTCGGGAGGAACTCGGGGTTCGTCACGTTCCCGGGCAGCCCGAAACCCTTCACACCCTGCAGCATGTCGCAGCCCCTTCCGGGCAGGCCGGGCAGGAAGTTCCTGGAGAAGTCGAGCTTCTTCTGGTCCGGCAGCAGCGGCAGCTCCTGGCCGCCGCCGATCGAGCTCTTCGTGCGATCGTCGTACGGACTTCGACTGTCGTAGCTGCAGTTCTTCCGGTCGACCGAGTGCGTTTCCTCCGGCTTCACCTTCTGCAGCTCGCCGGGGAATATGTTCTCCGGCGGCTGGGCCTGCTCGAAGTGGCGCGGCCGCTCGTCGAAGTAGTTCTTGCTCTGCTTGCTGAAGTCCGATCTGTTCTCGTCGACCGGTTTCAGTATGTCGCCGCCGAAGCTCGGTTTCTGCTCGAACGCCGCCATCTTGATCTCCGGGTCGTACGCCTCGGTCGGCTTGCCTCTATTGTTCTCCAGCCGCGTTTCCGGTTGCTGCGATTGCTGCGATTGCTGCTGCGCGTGAAAGTATTTCTCTTGCTGTTGCTGTTGTTGCTGTTGCTGTTGTTGTTGCTGCTGTTGTTGTTGCTGCTGGTGATGGTGGTGGTGGTGATGGTGGTGGTGGTGCTGTCTCTCTTTCGTGGTCAGCTCCAGAGGACGATCCCGAGCTTCCCGCCACGATCGCTTCCGGCGTCTCGGCGCGCTGCTGCTCGTCGTGCCAGCCGACGTCGCTTCCGCTTTCGCTTGCACGAACGAGCGCAACATCTCGCTGAAGAAGAAGCTGTGCGGCGTCAATGGTACGTTGTACAAGTAGGGAGGCGTCGCTGCCAACAGACGCGAGACCAGATCGCCGCCGGACAGGGACGCCGGCGTCTTCATCGTCGACGGATCGCCCGTCGTCGTCGTCATCGCGGAGATCTAGCGGTGTTTGCTGTGGAAATAAGGAGAGACGGTGTTAGATTAAGTGTTGGAACATTCTTGCGGCTTTTGTTGTTGGGGTTAGTAGGGCGATCTTTGAACATTTGGGAACTTTTGTTGTATAGTAATGTTTCTCTAGTTGACGCTCGGATTGCGCGCAATTCTTCCTAATTTTCAGTTGGAAATAAAAATGGACAATTTGGGAAGAAGAGGTACGATTATTCGAGCTTTGCAGCTCGTTTTTATAGTTGTTGACGATCGATAATCATGAAAAAGGAGCCACAAGGCTCGAACAATCGTATCTCCTCTTCCAATATTGTCTATTTTTGTGGACAATCTGAGCGTTAATTAGAGAGAATTTACTGTACGTGGTAGGATTGTAATTTCTCCCTAATTCGCGCTCAGATTGGACAATTTGGGAAGAGGAGATTCGATTATTCGAGCCTTGCAGTTTGTTTTTATAGTTACGAATTATCAACAATTACAAAAACGAGGTGCAAGGCTCAAATAATCGTATCACCTCTTCCTAAATTGTCCGTTTTTGTTTACAAGCTGAGAGACAATTGGAGAAAAATTGGATTAGATTCTCTGTAATATAGTAAATTTTTGATAATCGTTGTACTTGTTGTAATTGTAATTTTTGTAATTGTTGATAATCGGCAACTATAAAAGATGAGCCTCGAGGCACGAATAATCGTGTCACCTCTTCCCAAATTGTCCGTTTCTGTTTATAAGCTGAGGGACAATCGGAGAAAAATTGGATTAAATTCGCTGCAATACAGTAAATTCCCCCTAATTTTCCTTCAGCTTGTGAACAAAAATAGACAATCTTGAAAGGGCATGTACAACTATTGGAGTCTTGCACCTTGTTTTTGTAATTGTTGATAATAATTAATCAACTATAAAAAACGAGCCTCGAGGCTCGAATAATCGTATCTCCTCTTCCCAAATAATCCAGTGTTATTTACAATGTCGAAAGAAACTTGGGGAGAAATTACAGCATTGCGCAACGATATAAAAATGAACACGAATGTCTTCTCATAGTCGCACAAGGATCGCGAATATCGTGCAAGAACTACAAAATGGTCGGCGTCTTCGAACAGTCGAGAACATCCATACGCAACGGGCAAAACAGATGCGACCGACGGAAGGTTTGTCGCAGTAAATAATTTTGATAGCGACCGGCGTGGGGTAGAGGAGGGGAGGGGAGGGCTCCCTCTGATAATCCAGGGCGCAAAACATCGCGCAGGTATGTACAAATCGGCGGAGTGGAAGCGAGCTACTATTGTCTTCCGAAATTAATTGAATATCCGCCGCTGTTAAGTCTAAGACGAAGGAAGCCGGCACCGCCTATGGCGAGGGGTGGAGATGGGGGCGAGGGGTGGTAACACCGGGCTTGCATCACGTCATCCATTAAGGATTACTAATTTCTGTCAAGTGCACGTTCGGTTTCGCCCGGATGTCTTGCGAGCTGGAATCCTCGCGGAATCCCCGTGAAATCGTTAATGAGAATCTACGGCCGTAGGTATTTCAATTAAACTTTGCGCCACGGTTGTATGAACAATCGCGGCGAGGACAAATAGTAATTAGAGGGAACGTTCCCGAGATCCGACAGCGTCCCGTGATTAATGAACTTATAATATCTCCGAATCGTCGCGGATTCCGTCATCCGGCGCTCCCGCCGATACAAACCAGCGAAAATTGGCCGCCCCGGGGAAACGTACGCGCGAGACGTACCTAATCGTCGCTAACGAGCATTCGATCTATCAAAAATATCGCGGACCTTGCGACGATAAGGAATTTAACGTTCGGATGGATTCGATATTCGAAACACATAAAAAATGTGTTTCGAACGCTTTAAGTTTCAATTTGTAAAATACGAAAATAATTTTGAAAACTGTCGTCGATTGTTGTAGCGTATATTGAATACGATTTAATATGCATTGTTGTTGTGAATATTTTCGTTACTTGTGTGGATAATTCATTGTTCAATGTTAGCATTTGTGGATCGTCTTCGACGCTATCAGTTTTCCCTAGAAAGTCAATTTCGCTGGTCGCTGAACATGTTTATACGATAATTTGTCTCGGAAATGCCAAATTTCGGGTTGCTGTGAATTTTCCTGTGAGCTAGTTCTATGTCTATGTAATTTATTGCTATGTCGATGCTAAGGGGCGACGAGATTCAGGTAAAGAAAACCGTGGAGCTGCAAATTGCGTTCGAATCGTGGCATGTGGCCTCAGAATTGCTTTCAAATCGTGTTATGTCGCCTCCGAATTGCCTTCGAATCGTGTCATATGGCCTCCGAATTGCCTTCGAATTGCTTTCGAATCGCGCCATGTGGCCTTCGTTTCGAATTTCCTTAAAATCGTGGCAATTGGCCTTCGAGTTGCATTCAAATCGTGTTATGACGCCTCTGAATTGTCTTCAAATCGTGTCAGATGGTCTCCGAATTGCCTTAGAATTGCTTTCGTATCGTGTCATGTGGCCTTCGTTTCGAATTATCTTCAAATCGTGGCATTTGGCCTGCGAATTGCTTTCAAATCGTCTCATATGGCTTCCGAATTGCCTTCGAATCGTGTCACGTGTCCTCCAAATTCCCTTCAAATCGTCTCATGTGGCCTCCGAATTGCTTTCAAATCGTCTCATATGGCTTCCGAATTGCCTTCGAATCGTGTCACGTGTCCTCTAAATTGCCTTCAAATCGTCTCATGTGGCCTCCGAATTGCTTTGGAATCATGCCACGTGGCCTTCGTTTCGAATTTCCTTCAAATCGTGGCATTTGGCCTCCGAATTGCTTTCAAATCGTCTCATATGGCTTCCGAATTGCCTTCGAATCGTGTCACGTGTCCTCCAAATTCCCTTCAAATCGTCTCATGTTGCCTCCGAATTGCCTTCGAATTGCTTTCGAATCGTGTCACGTGGCCTTCGTTTCGAATTTCCTTCAAATCGTGGCATTTGGTCTCCAAATTTCTTTCAAATCGTCTCATATGGCTTCCGAATTGCCTTCGAATCGTATCACGTGTCCTCTAAATTCCCTTCGAATCGTCTCATGTGGCCTCCGAATTGCCTTCGAATTGCTTTCGAATCGTGTCACGTGGTCTTCGTTTCGAATTTCCTTCAAATCGTCTCACGTGGCCTCCGAATTGCCTTCGAATTGCTTTCGAATCGTGTCACGTGGTCTTCGTTTCGAATTTCCTTCAAATCGTCTCACGTGGCCTCCGAATTGCCTTCGAATCGTGGCAAAAAATAACAAACTAATGCCGACTGCCCGGAGTTTCTCTAAAAACAAATCGCGCGGCCCAAAAAAATCGTGTCACAATATTCTCGGATCTGCCTGTTTCAATTTCTATTCTTTTATTACCGTGTTTCCATTGTCGCGTTGTCTCTCGAGGAAGTCTGGACAGGTATCGGGCACGGTCCGGAAAGTTGCGCGAACCGCGGCGACATGTTGATACGCGTGTAACGAAAGTTCCGCGAAAGTTTTTCCCTCGGAGCCGAATTCCGCGGTGTCTCGAAAAGATTTCCTCGCGATAGAAAGACTAAAGAGAGTAACAGGGCGTGGAAATCAGAATGGTGGTCTGTATCCGTGTCCGCGGACCGAGGAGGGATTGGGTATTGTTTCGGTCCATTGTTTCCCAAACAAACGGCGTCCACGTTGTTTCGTCAGGAGATATTATGTTCAGCCAGACAGGCAGGACGAACAGGAAATGGACTGCTGTCAGTTTTACTCTTCGTGATAAATACGAGCTCGTCGTCCGTGCTCGAGCCACGTCCTGCTCATAATTCTGACCGCCTCTGTCGCGTCGCCGACATCGACCACTGAAAATCCCCTGACTTCTTTCACGCTCCGGCATGCAATCTACTTCGCTAACAATTATGCGAACCGGTCGGTCTTATTTATGGTGCAGTTTACAGCGTCGAAGATCGGAGAATATCCTGGGCGATGCTAAATCGACGATTGTTTATTCCGCTATCGATATTAGTTCCATATAGGAATTTGCTTTCTGCACGTTGATCGTGCAAGCATTTATTTTTAGTCCACCGCGCTGGATTCACTTTATCGCGGTTGATTTGATTTCAGCACCGATATGCTTATTTTTAATACGATCTATCCGAATATTTTCTGTTTTCTCTAATCTTAAAACGTCGGACTTCTGGCATCGTATATTACCGACAAATCGATACCGCGATGATGTTCCAACGTTTTAACCTACTTTCATTCTTCTTCGAATTTTGCAACTGTAATTCTTTGTCGAGCGACGAACGTAATTCGAATATTAAGCCCTCTCAAGGGAGAAAAGATAATTTGTTTCATCCGTTTCATGATTATTCGAAATCGCCGAATGTTCGCTGAATTATTCATTATAGGATAACATTTTTACACGAATTCGTGCGTTACATTATTTGAGGCAATCGTTTACCTTTCGATTTGTTATTTCCGTTTCAAATAATAGCTGTTCAATCCCGTGAACAATACGTCGGTTTATACGATACACGTGTACCTGCTGGTTGATTTCGCGACACGACCGAAAGAAGTTGAAGATAATATAATTATATAATATAATATAATATAATATAATATAATATAATATAATATAATATAATATAATATAGTATAATATAGCATAATATAGTATAATATAGTAAAATATAGTATAAATATAGTATAATATAGTATAATATAGTAAAATATAGTAAAATATAGTATAAATATACTATAAATATAGTATAATATCGTATAATATAGTAAAATATAGTATAAATATACTATAAATATAGTATAATATAGGAAAATATAGTATAAATATAGTATAATATAGTATAATATAGTATAATATAGTATAATCTAGTATAATATAATATAATATAATATAATATAATATAATATAATATAAAATAATATAATGTAATATAATAAAAAATTAATATATATTAATGTAATTAGTACGTAGAATACAACATTCTGTCGTCGCTATTTTCGTCGCGTGAAATTCCAAAATGATGAAAAACTT